TCAGAATCAACGTTGAGTTTAATCAAGCGAATGAGCCAATTGCCGTAAAGTGCCATGCAGATTTAAATTTTTCCCACTTGTGTCGAATGCAGCTATCGATTTTTTTTTTGCATGCTAGCATGCTAGTTAACATTCGTGTCAGTCAGTTGTTAGCTCTCACGCTGCCCAATAGAATCTTCCTGTCTATTCGTGGCAGCCAGCTATAGGGTCTCACTCTGCCCAGTACAAAATGGCCACAAACTGCATAAAAACTGCCGTAGAAGCATGAAAAATTCGATTATTTCCACTATCGATGGAAGTTGCGAAATGCAACGTCGGTCTTGGCCTTCCCGCTAACATTGATCATGTGCATGTAAATTTTGGTGCAAATCCGTCGAAAATTGCGGCTGTGCAATCGTTACACACACACACACACACACACACACACACACACACACACACACACACACATCCTGCCTTTTATAGATAGCGATTAAAAGTATTAGTTCTGTTTCATATTAAAGCGAATTTTGCAATAACTTATTTTTAAATCTACTGAGTTTTAAATACCCATATAAATTCATAATTTCCTGTTTCCAAGGATACAGAGAAATTCAATCATTCAGACAGGGACGGTAGCGTGTTCATTTTTATTAACTATTGTTGTATCAATTATGAATTACGTTCGATTAACTTAAGGGGGGGTAGTGCTGTATTTTTCAACGAATTCTGAAATCCGTTAAACGCACGGATGTCGTCTATTGTTTTTTATTGTTTTTTTTTTAACGCAAAAAGTTTTTTGGCATTTTTTTCGTACTTGTATCTTTAAAGATTCTATCTAGAGGTGTTTGGGTTAGAATATGTTTTATTCAACTACAATTTTAAAATATTTTTACTCTCAATTACTAACAGACTATATTTCTTTTTTAAAACAAGTAGATGTAATAGAATTACTTAAATTATTTAAAATTATTGTTTCATATCAAATATATGTATATTATCAGCTTCCATTTTTTTTTTTAAATATTATTTAAGGAAAATCTTTGACAATGACGGCAATGAATAGTTGTTTCATATCTTTGATTCAGTAAATTTTTATTTTTTATAAAAAAAATAAAAATAAAAATAAAACAGACGACATGCGTTTAACGAATGTCAGAATTCGTTGAAAAATATACCCCTACCCTCCCTAAACTTAGCCTCTTTTTCGAACGTAACTCATAATTGATACAACAATAGTTAATAAAAATGAACACGCTACCGTCCTTGTCTGAATGATTGGATTTCTCTGTATCTTTGCAAACAGGAAATTATGAATTTATATGTGTGTTTAAAACTCAGTAAATTTAAAAATAAGTTATTCCAAAATTCGCTTGAAGATGAAGCAGAACTAATGCTTTTAATTTAATTATATAATTAAATTTGAATTATTTAGTTTCGGTTTTTGAAACATGGTTATTACTGTGTAGCGAAAAACATATTTTAAATCAGTTAATTTATAATGTTTATGCTCTGTAAATTTACATTGAGCAGTGTTTTGTAAAAATAAAAATAAAAAATATCAATAAGAACACCAGATTATATATCTCACTGTACTTTCTTTATATATATATATATATATATATATATAATGAAATGGACAAAGTCAGAGAATCATATAAGACATGTTTTATGTTTATACGTTCTTTTTATAGATACAGATATTTATAATAAAATAAATATTATAAACAGAGCATTTATTTAATATTTGTATCTATAAAAATAACGTATAAACATAAAAAATGTATATATATATATATATATATATATATATATATATATATATATATATATATATATATATATATGTGTGTGTGTGTGTGTGTATGTGTGTGTGTGTGTGTATGTTTAAAAATAAAACCAAAATGCTAAAGAAGTTCAGGTTATTAACCTAACTGTTCTATATATTTGCAGAAACAAACACTCTAACATATATATATATATATATATATATATATATATATATATATATATATATATATATATATATATATATATATATATATATATCAAGCGAGAGATAGGGAAATGTAAAGAGAATGAATGATATTGATGGTAAGCGCTAGTGCCACATGAATCATTGTATAAAATATTAGAATGTAATAATTCAAGCAATACATCAAGATTGAGAGTTGTATCGGCATTTTGCTAAAAAAAAAAAAATTAATCTCTTGCTTATCGACGTCTGACGCTGTTATGAAGAAGCAAAAGGGACGTTAATAATCAAAACCGACTTACCAAAGAGAGAACATTTTCACATACACCAAGTAAAACAAACGATTTCAGCAAAGAAGCATATATTTACAAGTGTTTTATACAACGTCAGAGATTTGTGTGCTCTCATAACACAGGGCTGTAAGTAAATAAGAATGAAAGTAGGAAATATGAATTCCGGGAGGTGCGTACGGAGATATATGCTGTTTATATGAAGAGGTAATTAAAACGCTCTTTGGTTTTCAGAGGAAAAAAAAGTAGATTTCGAATCTGAGAGATCTATTTTTATATTATTCTCTTTTGAGATTATTTAATTTAACTCAAATTAAGTCAAATGAATATGTTCTACAGGATACGACGTAATTCTTGTCACCCCTACGTAAATTAAATTTCTATTTTAACGGTCTGTGGGGTATTATCAAGGGTAGACTTTAACATCAACGATACCAGAATACATATCAATTGAAGGACGCCGTTCGGAGAGCCTTTGCAACAATCAACAAAGCAGAGCTTCATAAAATGTCACACAGAACATGGCGCCGCATCATTTTGTTCCACGAAAATGGCGGTGTTAATAAAATACTTCTTGGTGTTTGAAAGCATCAATGAAAGTACATGTGCTTTGTATTACTGTATTACTTGTTCTTCTGTTGTTCTCATTACTTTTGATAGCGGGTGACAAGACGTTCAGACTACCCTGTAAAGATATCTGGTGTTAACCCGCAGGACAGTAACTCTTCGTTACTTCACTGTCGAAACTTTATAACCGGCCTGAAAGCAGAACGATTACATTGAATCAATTGTTTATTCGGCTGTTAGAAAACTTAGCTGTGTTGTGTTGGGAAATTTTATCTCGACAGAATCTGTCTCGCACTTTTATAAGACTACCATTCGTCTGTGTATCGAATATTGCTCCCTCTTCTTCTGCTATGTATCTAGAGATTCCCGAGAGAATCCGAATAAGAATCTGCAGTGTTATCGGTCCTGACCTGGCACCTTTGCCTCATTACTTCTCCCACCGCTGTAATGTAGCTTCCAGGTGATTCTTCTATAAATATTTTCGTGGTAATTCCTCTGACGAGCACTGGTGCATCGACTTCATGAATTTAAGCTTATTACTTGATAGGAATCTAATGTTGATGTGGAAATAGCTAACTGTAACCGTGAGTTCTATTCTAATGCTTTCTTCTTTTGCACTTCACATCTGTGGAACACATCTTCTTACTTTCTTGTCAATTATGATCTTCAAAATTTTAACTGCAAGTTTTAAATAATGATTCAGCATAGTATTATTTTAGTGGGAATGGTATCTCTGCTCGGATTTCCTGAGGTTGAACTTTGCGGTCAGATGAAAGACAAAAAAAAAAGGATGTCTATTTTGAACGAGCGTGAGAACGATATATAGAGAAAGGATTTTCGATGAATTGTTTCTTAATCGTCGAACAATGTAGACGTGTTTCCTTTTGTGTCTGGTTCTGCTCCCCAGTGGAGTGAGGGAGCGACCCCACTGGATAGTTGAAAACACGTCGACATGGTTAATAAATAATTTAAAATTTCACGTGATGATGTCATTCGTTTCTGAACTCAAAACAACTAGCGATCACCGGCCGAGAAGGAAGGCAACTATATTAACGAGTCGACGCCGTCGCCCAAGATCCTCCCACACACCAGCAAGAAAGAGAAAGCCCTACACAAGATCAACCGTAATTTTCTGTTTTTTTTTTTAATCCAGTTATTTAAACTGCCCTTTTTTCTCATTAAATTTACTTAATTTCTTTTACGCGCGTGAAATGTGTGAGTATCTGTGTGCGTGTGTTTTCTATCCATATGTCGGTAACTCGCTAAAATATGTACAAGTGCTTCATTATCCTTATACAGACGATATCCTTTATTTACCATATTCCACTTCCTTTTCGCGCAGCTTACCTCTTTCTAATGTTTACTCAGAATTTCGTATTTTGCCTGCGCTTATGTCCTTAGCCCATGTTCTAAATAGCCTACGTTTCTGTTTACATTCACAATACTCGCTTCTGAAATAATTTCTTGTTTGTTAATCATTTTTTTTTTATTATTAGCCTTTAATTTCCATTAACACTTTTTTTTGTGGTATCATTAATACAATATGATTTTGTCAATGACTTCAATGTTATTCTAAATTTTTCCATGATTTACTATCAATTTCACTCAATAAGTTTGAAAATTCTACCACTTTTTAGGTTATATAATTGTTATGACACATGAAAATTTACTTTATACCGAGTATTGTATTTGATATTGCATATATTTACTTACAATATGAAAATCAAAACAAAACTTGTCTAATTATAATTTTAGAAACGCATATTGATGGACAATTCATAAAGGTGATGGCTTCTATTTTCTGTCTCTCCACTTATCTATTTCTGTCACTCTACTTAAATATCTATTTTCTGAAAACCCAAAAAAAAAAAATTTAGGAACTGGAGACAATTTTTTAAACAATGTGAAACAAGGAACATTCATTTTGGCTTTGATTGACTTTTGCTGATATGAACAAAATCTGACAAAAATTTTGAAAGTTCGGCAAGTAGATATAATTTTCCTATATTTCTAGTACATTTTCGTTTTCAGCAAAGAGTTTAAACATTGGTCAATGGAAAAGGATTGTTTTACTTAAACTTACTGTGCAGCGTGGGTAGCAGAAGGGATATTTCGAAGTAATGACAGAGAAAAAGAAAGAGTTGGAGAAAATGGGAATTGAATAAAGCCAATCTGTTGTGAGCACACATGTGTTGAGGCTAGCAGTGCGCATCCATTACCGAGAATTGAAAAACCGGACCTTTACGATATCAGACAAACGTCATACCATACTGTACCAACGGGTCTCGGTGACGAAGAGGTATCGAATTAGACTCGATCACATATTCCTTGATGGAACACATCCATGGATGCGAATTATTTAATTCTGATTATCCGAAATCCTCCTAATTTCTATCTCTCTCTCTCTCACACACACACACACACACACACACACACACACACACACACACACACACACACATATATATATATATATATATATATATATATATATATATATATATATATATATTAGAGGAGTAATGGATAGCGGCTCGGATTGAAGAATCCGAGAGCCAAGTTCGAATTCAAGTCGAATCCAATACATGCACATTAATGCTAATACCCTTGGGAAAGGTATGAATCCTTTTCTTCTCCCCACCCCCAGCTATGGGTGAATAACAGGACAGACCGGGTTCTATAGCCTTGGATGACAACTGGTCTATCGCAGAAAGAAATGGCGGCTTATTGCGGGAAAATCTGTGTCGTCAGGCAGGTATCGAAAATGCATGATCGACTAAACGTGTATCAACATGGCACGTAACAGACTATTTAAAAAAAAAAACGAATTCTACCTCCATTTTTAATTGCACAAACATAGATTTTCTCTTGTCATTTAATAATTGATAGTTATTTAGCATTTTCGAACAAAAGATATAAAATATTGACATTTCTTTTTAAAAATTATTAAGGAACATGTGTTTTTTTTTTTTTTAACGGGCTTTTAACGGATATATGCAAATTTCAAACGGATACACGCAAATTTTAAACGAATATATATATATATATATATATATATATATATATATATATATATATATATATATATATATATATATATATTATATGCGTGTGTTTTGTGGAAGATCTTGATAACAGAACTCTAACATAATGAGAGATTACATCTTCCATTATGCCTCCATACTCAACTAAATTGTAAAAATATATACACATGCTTTTCGCATTTGTTGAGTTTGTTACTCGGTAACGTTAACCGTTTTGTTTCACTCGACCAAATATGAAGAAACGATGATGGAATGCGACAAATATGTCTTACAAGGAATAATAAAACACGTGTTTTTTTTGTTTTGTTTTTTTTTTACCAGACGGCAGAAAAGCTATAAATCGGGAACTTTCGTCGATATAGTAATGGAAGAAAACGTCTTTTGATTGGATATTTATTGACAGAAGAATCACAGTTCCTTAGTCGAAGATCTATGCCTTATTTTTTTTCTTATGTAGACATATTCATATGCGCCTGCGCATAATGCATAATAACCGCCATCTGTTTGCTTTCTGTCTGGGTTTTCGGAGAATATGCTTTTTACTCTGGCGACAACAAATTAAATGATATTTCGATTGACAATCTTCAATTTTTCTTTGGTATTAGAGTGCAGTTTCCGTATATGTAGGATGTCTTAGTTTCAAATGTACCAGCAGAAATTGGAAAACAATTCAGTCAATTGACACTGACATATTTTTTGTCAATATTCATTTGCACATATATTAAAAATTTCTAGTTGGCAGTTCTATCTTTTCTTTGTACACGTGTCTAAATATAATCTTTCGTAATGGCCAGGCTTGGAACGCGACCATACCATCACGATGGAAAATAAATTAATTAAAAACTCTATAAGAAATTCCAACAGTAGATTTAATTTTGTCCTCAATTTTCTTGTCTTCGATCTGAAGAAGCACAAAATGGGCGAAATGCATTATCGGATATTTTTTCGAGACATCATATTTTCATGTACCTTTTATCCAACTGTCATATATATATATATATATATATATATATATATATATATATATATATATATATATATACATACATATATACTATACTTACTTGCATTATATACATTATTCGGCGTTATCTCCATTTTCAATGGCAAATTCATAACGTTTCGGCCGTTGTGCCCTACGTTCAATACCAGTCCACAGCAGTGGTGAACCAATGCTTAGAGATTTGAGTTAAATTGCCGAGACAGCAGGCAGAGGTCATGCAACGTGGAACTAGAACACTCTAACCCGGTGGATGAAATAAAGAGTTCGGTACGAAAATGCAATCAAATGAAGAAGGCCGGCGCGAGCAACGCCCGGAACGTTGTTAATATGACAATGAAGATAAGGATAATATTCTAAATAATGCAAGTATTATATATATATATATATATATATATATATATATATAGTCGACTCTCCCGTCGATTTCGACGTATGAGGGCCAAGCAGATCAGTTTCCAGGAAACCGACAGCCCGACACCGGCACATGAGATTTGATTATAGGGGTGAAGGTTTTGTGCAGGACCATCCACACTTTTTGAAGGGCCGAATACAGAACCCTGGTGCCCTAAGTGCCACAAGGTTCCCTAAACAACCCTCCGCAGGCACGGTGGAGTAATGGATAGCTGCTTGGATTGCGGAATCGCAGAGCTGATTTCAAAATTCCAGTCGAATCCATTACATTCACTTACGTGCAATTACCCTTGGTGTTCCCAAGCGGTCCCCCATTTAAGTACTGACCTGGCTCTACGATGCTTAACTTCGGTGATCGAACGAGAACCGGTGTTTTCAGCGTGATTTGACCGTAAGCACCTGGTACTGTAAGCTACCAAAGTCCAACCCTTACCTCACAGTCGGTGGAGGGGTGTAAAACGGTAGTGTCAGAGCTATGCCGTCCGGAACTTCGTTCCTGGTAGGGCCACCCAAGGCGGACAGTTCTGACACACTCGCCGGCTAACAAGGGCTCTGGTGAAAATCCAAGGAGCGTCTGCATCGGCAACCGGCGGCTTCTGGTCGTTCCTGTCTCTGCGTCTGTGGGAACCCTGCGGCAAGCAAGAACGTTATCCGAGTAGGCCTGGGTACCCTACTTCTGTAGTTTATCCCAAGAATCTTCTTCTCACAACAGGAAGAAGCCGGCTCAATCCGCCCAGGGTGAATGCCGCATCACACACAATATCCCTTGGGAAATGTATGAATTCTCTTCTTTTCCCTCCGGCTGTGGGTAAAATAGCAGGACACACTGGGTTCTATAGCCTTGGATGGCAACTGGTCTAGGAGAAGGACAACTCTCAATTCATATATATATGTGTGTGTGTGTGTGTTTTTATTTCTTATTACTGTCAAATTTAGATTTAGTGGGTACTCATGTTTGAGTTGCTACCCCTGTTTGTTTTTTTTATTCTTAAACAGTGAAATTAATAACAATCAGCGTAGATTGGGAAGTTCTACTAAAGGCAATATATATTTCCGATGCTGTATCTCTTATTTATTCTTTTTTTTTTTTTTATCATCTGGAAAATCAATTTTTTCCCCGCAAATGTGCCGCTGTCAGTCTCACCCCCAAAACCTGTCTGACATAGCAAGTTCTGAATTACGTATTTAATGAAATCACATCTCTCGTTGGAACTACTATATTGACATATTATCCATTTTATGCTTTTAAAATACGCGATAATCCGAGACATAATGTTCACTTAGGCCTTTAGAAAAGAACTGGAATTATAAACGTAAATCATCTGCAAAGCTGGTATTAGCTTTTCTTGTCTGTTTTCCTGCCACTCAGAGACTATTAATGTTATTATTTTCTACAGTACCATAGCTTTACTTTGATTAGTCGCAGTAGGAAGCGAGCTAATTGTATCCAATGTCCAGCACTCCAATATTATTCCATTTGTCTTTCAATCCTCAGAATGTGAATTGCTTTCCGAATAATAAGCAAGTCTTTCCTTGTGGCCTCCGAATAAGAGTTCTTTAATAGCCAGTACTAGATTTTCGTTAAGTGCACGAATGCCTCGGTTTCAAGAGGGTGTTCAGATTTAAAGAGAAGGCCATTAGTGATTTTATTGTGAATGTGGGATTTCAGTATAGGATGACATGAAGCGAAACCTATACGCTTAGGAGATCAATGTCGAAAAATGAAGGTTGAAGAAAAGCGAAGTTTTTACTGCAAGATAGTAATCGGTTATCTGCCTTGGTTTTCTGAATGTTTGCTGTTGGCGTTGCGTCAATATCAGAAATAGCTTTTGAAACAAACGAAAACAGACGGAAAATATGCAAGCATAACAATAAAAAAAAATGGAGGAAAGAGAAAGTAATATCGTCTGTTTTTTTTTCTCGCTCTCGGTGTTTCGTGTTCCTTCTAGATGTAGGTGAAAGTAGCTCTTCACAACTTTCTCCGTTTTCTTGCTCTCAACAGCTTTCTAGTTTTTATGACCCCCTCTTTATGTTCATAATATTTGTTCTTTCATCGTTTTACCCAAAGTTACCAAATACCTTACGCCTTGTTTTTTTTTTCTTTTTTGCCATCGAATTTGCCCTGTGAATATTATGCTTTTTGCCTTGACTACTTTCTATATTAAGCACGCTAAAAAGTAAGCTATCTTTTTCTGAATTTTATTATGATTTCCTTATCAGTTGTTCATTGTCCTTATCATAAATTATGACATAGGTATAAATGAATTTTCACCTTATTAGGACGATTTTTGTTTTATTTGTACATTATCCTTAAGTAAATCATTAAATTTGTATAAAAGAATTCTTGTTTAGTTGATATCACCTTTACATCGCTAAAAAGCTAGATTGACATAACTGCTTTATTTATCTACATCAGTGGTTGTCAACCTTTTTGCTGTAGCGGAACCGCAAGGAAACATTCCAGTGGCTCAAGGAACCCCTGCAATAAATTAATTGTCTTATGCAAAAAAAACTTTCAATTATTAAAATAAAATAAAAATACTCATCTTCAGATTTATTTACAAAAAAATACAAAGACAAACTGTAAAAATATTGTATACGATCATATGCAATTTTAATCTGGCTTCTACGGTTTTTACACATGTATTAAAAAAACTTCAGTTTAAATGGATTACATTTATTTTCATTAAAAATTCAATGAGAAACTTGAGCCTGGTGTTTCTTGAACAAA